TCGGCCGATCCTTATGAAGTATGGAGATACCCTTAGGCCCAAGCGTGCAACGAATATCGCTTGGCACTTCAATGTGGAAAGGAGTACCGTAACGCAGACTTGCACCTCAATGCTGGAGCTGCATTTCGGTTAGACCACATTTACAATCCTCTCATCTTTTTTTAATCTGTTATCATGTCTATAATCTTAGATACGAAGAGAATTATCCTGAGGCGTTACACCATCTGCAATTGGCAGTAAAATTCGACCCGAGTGATGTGATTGGTTCACATGGCCGACTAGCATCGCTCACTCACTTCCTCTCTAACGTCAGCTCGGGTGTTCAGAATGCAGGTAATTCACCTGTGCCGTTTTTAAACGACTGAACTGCAATTGACATGTTTGTTGGTCAATATTGTGCATTTTGCATTTCTGCAGGTGGTTTGCGGGCAAAGCGAGTGGCTGAGTTCAAAACATCACTTCCTGCGTCTTCATCATCAGTAAACCCCTTTACTGACCATCGTACTGTATCAGTATTTGAGGAGATCAGCGCAGGCCATAATGACGGGATCGCTGTTGTAGCCAAAGTTGTATCGACCATTGTGCATGATGAAGGTGTCCCTGTGTGAGTTTCCTTCCTTTTTCAACCGTGTACAGCTGATGAAGTTGGGAAGTTGTCTCTGCCAGGTTTCTTTTTGATGATCAACTTCACCTTGTTTGAATTTTTCAATTTACTCATAGATCTAGAAGGGCTACAGTTTCTCTCTTACTATGTTAGTAGTTTCTCTGAGTAGACGTCGATTTTCCCGAGATCAGAATTTAAAATACGGAAAGTGCACCGTGAAAAGTCTTCTTACGGATCCTCTTTCAGTGCATCAATTATTATGGACAGTGCAGGAGAATGTATAGCACTTTGCGTCTACAACTGTGCCCCATCATTCTCATTTTTCATCGGTGACACTGTTGCCATTGCTGATCCTCACGTTGTGGAAGTAAAGGTAATAGTAATATTCTTTACTGCCCCTCTTTTTACTCTTTACTATTCTTTACTTACAAGTTGTTTCTATCTTATGTGCATTCATATTAAGGATTTGGAGTTAACTCCGTCATCAAAAGTTTCATTCCGTTCTATTCGAGTGCCAAATCCTTCAAAGGTCTCTAGAAACGGAACTCTTCCAAAACCAGCGCAAGTGGCACCATCACATTTGAAGATCTCTGCCTTATAATTATGTACCGATGAAAATAAAGTTCTTTCTTGCAAATTTCAGACCTTTTTGTATCACTGGTTTTTTGAAATTTCATTAGAAGCAGTACATATCATACTAGGTAAGCATTTAAAGCATTCTTTGGCATAGGGTCACATTTTGGAGATCGTAAACACAAAGCACAAAAATCGGGAATTTGCGAATCCTTTTGTAGAAAATACATCACTGTGCAGTTGCGATGCATTATTGTTAATCTGGTTGTGCGATCTAGCTCAGTAAAAAACAGTTTGTGTTTTGGCTAGGTTTAATGAAATTAGAAAGACTGTTATTTAAATAAATTAGGAAGGTCCAATCACCATATAGACATGTTCACGGCCATGTGGTAGTTCTAATTAACCTAAATGTTATAAAAAAGGTTGTTGTAAGAGCACTAAATCAAACCACTGAATTTCTAAGCGGCTGTTCGAACATCTATGAGGGTGCCGTAATCGAACAACTGCAGCAAGGATGCTTTAATAATTGATTAAAAAGTCATGATC